TGAATTGTGGTGCCCAGAATTGGACACAATATTCCAGGTGTGGTCTAACCAAGGCAGAATAGATGGGCATCAGTGTAATAGGTATTTCAATAATGAACAAAATGACAATTTTCTTGGAAATCAATCTCCCCTTTCTGACCTCTTCATGATTTCTAAAGCTTGTCACTTTCTCTACTAATGCTGTATATCTCATAATTCATGTAACTGTAGGTTGGAATTTGCACTTGCAGTTCATTGCAATCAGGATTTTAGCAGCACAGGCACATATTTTGTACATTTATTCCTAGGGTGAAAAATACTGAATGTTTCAAATGGAAAGGTTTGAAAATGCAATTCTGTAATTGTGCTTGCCTGTGATAAAATACTCTTCAGAATAGCATCTTGTAAATTTAATGAGACAGGTTCAGGATTTTGTGTATTAAAAAGAATCATTTATGCATGTTTTTTTCCCCTTCCAAACCCGGCTGCCTGAAAGCTAACAAAGGCATAAAGCACTTCAAAGCATGCAATTGAGTTTCTAAAGCATAATATAGATAGACTGTCAGTCTCTGCTGCCTTTAGTGACAGTGTGGACTTAACACCTGCCCTTGCTAGAACAACAACTTCCATCATGATTTCCTCTAATTTCTTTCTTCTACTGGGTTGTGTGGTAAAGTAAATATTTCCAGATTCCAAAAATATACTAAATGTATACCGACCAATTGCTCCAGTTTGGCAAGGGCACCCCATACATTTTGATGTCCCACTTACCACCTCTTTCCACTTGTTTCAAACTGAGGTGACATTCAAAAGTATTTTGCTTTTATTTAACACAGCAATGAGGAGAGTACAGGAGGTGGATAGGCTTTTGCCCTTCCCAGTAGACTCATGCCACTGCTGCAGCCTCTCCTGGCTGGTGTGGTCTTCCCCGTTTAGAACTATTTCTGTCTTGATCACATTCTTATGTTGCCTGGCTGTATTTTCCCAGTTTCCATCTGTGACATGTTTGGCAGTATGTATTTGATTGGAAGGTTTTCTTTTCACTCTCCTCCTCTTCCCCCCTTTTTCCTCTCTTTCTTTCTTTCCCAACATGGATTGCTCCTGGAAGTTCATCCTTTTGTCCTGGTTTTACCTCGAAGCTTCCAAGGATTTTGACAGAAGGTGGCCCAGACAAATTCTTTCAGAGCACATACAGTATATTTGTTATACACTGGCTGCCGATCCAATTCCGAGCACAATTCAAAATGCTGGTTTTGACCTATAAAACCCTATATGGCTCCGGTCCAGTGTTCCTGTCTGAACATATCTCCTTCTACACCCCACCTCGGAGTTTAAGATCTTCTGGGGAGGCCCTGCTCTCAGAGGGTTTAGATACCAATGACATTCACACACAGGCTGTTGTAATGTGTTAACTATAACAAAACTTTTATTTAACAGGCTTAAACTCTTCTGCATTCACACACAGGCTGTTGTAATGTGTTAACTATAACAAAACTTTTATTTAACAGGCTTAAACTCTTCTGGTACAAATGCGTAATGGTTTCTGTAAGTGAATGGCACAAAAGATTTTGGTTACGTTTGATGTACAATTCTTAGATGGGTTCTGGGTTCAAATCTAGAGTTAACAAACAGGAGATTATCTCAGGAAACTAATCTCTGATAATAATTCCAAACCAAATTCCCACTTTCTGGAATCTAGCCAAACAACCTTGGCCTAGCCTTCCTCAGGAATAAAAGAAACAGACCATAAGCAAGGTCCTGTTCCCACTGTTAGTATTCCTGGCTAATTCCTCTAGCCCTTGAATACAGAGGCGGCCCTAGGTAATTTTCAACGGTAAGCAAACTGTATTTTGCCCCCCCCCCCCAACCAATCACTGATATATATTTTCTGTTCGTCGTGGGAGTTCTGTGTGCCATATTTGGTTCAATTCCATCATTGGTGGAGTTCAGAATGCTCTTTGATTGTAGGTGAACTATACATCCCAGTAACTACAACTTGCATATGTCTTCTCCAAGACAAAGTCAAGTCACACTGGGACTGAAAAGGATGGAATGTTGAACTGAATTGAATTTATAAAAGTGATGCAGGGCCTATCTATCCTGGACCCTGCCTGATTAGCCCTATTGCTCCCCTGCATCCATGCATAAGAGGAAGATAGGATGTCAAGTACTGTCCCAAAGGACTGGCAATAGATCCATTGGACACTGGGTTAAACCTAAACAAAACCAGGAATCTCAAATTGTACATAAGGCTTTTGAATCTAACAAATCCACAAGGCATATTTTAGTACTAGAGAATTGTGGACATAGTCTATTACTTTTTATGCCTGACTGTAATCTCACTATTACTGAGAACATATTGTGATTGCAGGTTTCTGGTAATAAATTATTTGTACTGTCAGTGATGTAGAGACTACCAACAACTGTGATGTTATAATTAGCTTTAATTTTATTTTCAAAACTTTGTATTTGTGATCGAGGAAAAAATGTGTATTGCTTGTGACTAGAATAAAACTTCTTTCTGCGTTTCTTTCCTTTTCAAATTTTTTTCATAGCTAATATTTTTCTTTTAGGCTCCTGAGGGCAATAACCACTAAGAATTGCACCAGTAACTTTTAGCTGATATTACGATTGCAGCTGTTATGATTTAAATGATTAAATGTTTGGAATATTAAAGTAGTAATGTGAATGGAGTTCAAGGAGAGATGCTGTTGTGATGTGCAATTGTTCTGTATTAAAAGATTTTATGATGTGGGAAGTGCTAAGCAATCCAGCGAAATAATTTTATTTATTTAATTCATTTCTAGCATTTAATAGCCCACCAACTAACCCAAAGGGATTATATAGTATCTACAAAGTAATACTGAATTATGCCTTCATTTTCACTTCATTTAATAATAGCAAAAACAATTTTCTTCTTACTTGGCAAGTGGCTAGGTAAATAATCAGCAACATGAACATGACAGGCTTGTGCTGTAAAAATTCATTTGTGTGTGTATGTGTGTGTGTCTATTCTTGGTATCTTTCTTATTTTGTTTGCCTACATTCACAATGATAACTCTAAGCACTTTATATGTGTTTATGAAGGGCGACCTGTAGCGGTCCTCATCATGGACGTTGTCACGGCCATCTTTGAATTGTCGTACCCACTTACGCACTTTGCTTTCACTCATAACAGTATCACCGTACACTTCACAAATCTGTCGATGAATTTCTGCAGCAGGCAGGTTCCTTGCTGACAAAAACCGTATCACTGAGCAAACCTCACATGCGGCGGGTGAGTTGATAGTCTTAAACATTTTTAAAGCACAGAACAGAACCGTACAGGTTAGCTACAGAGCGGAAACTGAGCACAGTTGTTCCCGAGGCATGCCGGTACACGACGCACGCGCTCGTTGCAGTATGCGCGCGAACTACTAGTGTCTACAACAAAACGGACCTTACTTAAAAAATACCCCTCGTATTTATTTATTTGCCTTGCCATGTATGTGAAAGACCAATGGTCTAAGCATCGAATAAACTACATGTAAAGGTACTCGAGCGCCCACAGGTTTTGGTATCCATGGGGGTTCAAGAAGCAAACCCCAGCAGATACCAAGGTTTCACTGTAATTTGGGGCTGAATATTACTAACCTTATATTTCCAGGACTTTGCAAAAGCATCTGTCTATATGTCTGTATCAGGGGAAGTATAAAAACCATTCATTTTCATTGGGGGAGCAAATTTAGTTGTTAAGATGAGATGGTACATATTTGGTTTTGTGTTCTCTTACTATCTCACAAACTTTTTAAAACAACACAAAATGTTTTGTTCTATCTGAGTGGATATCTTTCTTTTTTTGGAAGACTGTCTCAGAAGCAACAGTGCCGTAGGGTTGCATCCTGGGCCCGGTCCTGTTCAACATCTTTATTAATGACTTAGATGAAGGGCTAGAAGGCAGGATCATCACGTTTGCAGACGACACCAAATTGGGAGGGATAGCCAATACTCCAGAGGACAGGAGCAGGATTCAAAACGATCTTGACAGATTAGAGAGATGGGCCAAAACTAACAAAATGAAGTTCAACAGTGACAAATGCAAGATACTCCACTTTGGCAGGAAAAACGAAATGCAAAGATACAGAATGGGGGACAATGCCTGGCTCGAGAGCAGTACGTGTGAAAAAGATCTTGGAGTCCTCATGTACAACAAGTTAAACATGAGCCAACAATGTGATGTGGCGGCAAAAAAAGCCAATGGGATTTTGGCCTGCATCAATAGGAGCATAGTGTCTAGATCTAGGGAAGTAATGCTATCCCTCTATTCTGCTTTGGTTAGACCACACCTGGAATATTGTGTCCAATTCTGGGCACCACAATTCAAGAGAGATATTGACAAGCTGGAATGTGTCCAGAGGAGGGTGACAAATGATCAAGGGTCTGGAGAACAAGCCCTATGAGGAGCGGCTTAAGGAGCTGGGCATGTTTAGCCTGAAGAAGAGAAGGCTGAGAGGATATGATAGCCATGTATAAATATGTGAGAGGAAGCCACAGGGAGGAGGGAGCAAGCTTGTTTTCTGCTTCCCTGGAGACTAGGATGCGGAACAATGGCTTCAAACTACAAAAGGAGATTCCATCTGAACATGAGGAAGAACTTCCTGACTGTGAGAGCCGTTCAGCAGTGGAACTCTCTGCCCCGGAGTGTGGTGGAGGCTCCTTCTTTGGAAGCTTTTAAACAGAGGCTGGATGGCCATCTGTCAGGGGTGATTTGAATGCAATAATCCTGCTTCTTGGCAGGGGGTTGGACTGGATGGCCCATGAGGTCTCTTCCAACTCTTTGATTCTATTATTATGTCACAGCACAGTATTGTTGCCCATTGGTGTTTCTGCAGCAAATTCTGCTGCACTGGATTTTGATTGATACCCAAATATTATTAAATTTGGAATATTTGTTTTTCTGCACCCTATCTCTTTGAAAGTAATGCAAATTTTTCTATCTTGATTTTTAATGTGTCTCTCCCCATCCCTCTTTTATCTTTTAGTTGACGGCTGTATACATAGAGCAGCTGGGCCCTGCCTGGTTGCTGAATGTCGCAACCTAAGTGGCTGTGAAACTGGGCAAGCCAAAATCACTTGTGGTTATGACCTGCCTGCCAAATGTAAGTAATCTGCTCCCTGCACATTTTTTAAAAAACTATGCTGAAATTTTATACATGCCTTACTTTTCAACACACTGATTAAATGGGGCATTCATTTATCAAATTAGCAGTAAAACTAAATTATGTCCATGTTTGTGATGACCTTTCTTTGTCCTTTGGGAAGTTGAGCTTTTGGAGAGGAAGGGAAAGATGCATGCTTGCTTTTGGATGCATTGAACTTCAGATTGTAAGTTGTAGCGCTTGGATTTGTGAAGAAACTTCTACAGTTTAACCGAATATATATTTTCAAATTTAGCTAGAGAATGGACAGGTTCTGTAAGTGGTGCAGATCTCATGTCTGGGAAATGCATTTTGAGTCAAGGAGATCAAAGTGATGTATTTTGTGTTTTCAGCTGCTGTTGTATAGGCTGATTGGCAATTACTGAGCCGGCATCTGTCACACTTAAGCATTCAGGGGAATACTGTTCTCAGCCCTGGAATGTTTCTTCTTGCTTTGAAAGTAGGATTGTCAAAACTCTCATTATATGTAAATAAGGAAAAAGGTTATTTGTACTGACCTTCTTGCATAACTGTTTAGCCATGCTTCAAAAAGTAAACACTGAAGTAGTGACTTTGTAGAGGCTGGGAATATGTTGTAAACAACATTGGGAGTATTTTAGTTTTTTGCATTGTACTACCAATTGTGTTCGATTTTATAATATGTCTATTTGCTTTATTTATCTTATTGTTATTTTATCTATTTTATTCTGATATAATTTTGTTGTCTGTATTTTGTATTTTACTCAGTTGTATTGTATCTTTGGGCTTGGCTTCATGTTAGCCACTTTGAGACCACTTCGGGGAGATGGTGGCGGGGTATAAATAAAGATGATGATGATTTTTATTATTGCTGAATATATAGTATTGTCAGGTTTTACAATGTATTGGAATGTAATATAGCTGAGTCATGCACTGCTAATAGGCTTCTATTGGAAATGCTGAGTCATGCATTAACTGTATATAGGGAATCATTTCGGGAATGTGTTCTGGCCTGATCCAGGTGATTGTGAATGATGCAATCCTGGGTCTGAGTTAAGTTAATGAGTTGGGAACCAATCAGAGATTGCTATGTGTAATTGTATAGAATTGTATATAAGGAAGTCATATAGAGTGTGCTTGTGCTGTGATGCTGTTCGTCGAAGGCTCTATGTAATTGATTAAAAGAATCTGTCTGCTAAGACAAGATATAACCGTGTGCTGTGGTAAGTTTGTAGTGCCATCTAGATTGGAGGGGAAAACAATAGTAAAACTGGCAATGGCCGGGCATGTGCTCAAGTGTCTGTAAAAGAGTTCCAGAGTGACTGCAGTTTGTGGGAGCAGTTGACTGAAAATACTGTGCAGGAAGAAGCTACTGGAAAGCGCTGAAGTTGTGCAACTGATCTGCTGCTGAATTGTGAAGTTGATCTCAACAATTATTTTCATATATATCACTACAGAGGTATTTGTTTTGGTACAGTCTATTGCTGTTTGGAGGGAGGCATCTATGTTGCATGAATTATACCTTTCTGCATTTGATTTGTCAGGTATTTTGGCATTTGTTTTATGGTGAAATCCTACTTACTTCTATAATTTGTCCTCCCGTTGCCTGTGGTGCTATCCAACAAAATGACTTGTATCCTCCATCAAATTGCTTACTGAATTTGTATGTTATCAGGGTTTAGAAACATGTTTACAGCTAGAAACAAACATCTTTCCGGGCCATCCCAGGCTAATTTCATAAGCTTTCTTTTTCTTATAGGGAAATGGTGCTGGTCATGGCCAAGACTGTACTGGAAATTTAATACTGATGTTAATTTGTACACTCCGGAAATTATTAATGTAATCACAGCCCTTTAGGAAATGCTAGCTATAGATTTATCTTTCTGATTGGTGTCATGTAACAATATAAATCAATCCAAAATGATAATCTAAATGTGTTCTCCCAGGCAATTCCGACTGTGACATAAGCACTTAGCAGCCACATCGGCATTATCCACAATGGGAATAATCAGCCAGTTTAATTAGAGTTATCTTTAGATTAGAAACCATTCTGTTGCATATGCATAATAATCATAATAGTAATGATAGGCCTTATTTATTTATTTTATATTTCAAGGCATTAGCCTGAGGTGAAATGACTCAAGTCAATCCCTTTGTTCTATATCATTTATGATAATATAATTTAATTAGTAGATCTCACAAATGATAATTGCACTACGTCTATTATCAGCTGGATGTATTTATTTCACATATTAAGTTAATATCATGACAGTTCTTTTAGTTTTAAATAAGCAGGATAGAAAATGGTACACTTACTTACTTACTTAGGTGATCCCTCGTTGGACGAGTAAGATGGTCTTCCATGATGGGTTTCCTTGTGGATTCGTAGGTGGCTGTGGAGCCCTATTCTTGACCCGCATCTTCTCCCACAGTGAAGGCATTGGTTTCCAGGTGGAAGGCGGTCCCGGTCGGGGTTGGCTTGACGCGCCTTCCTCTTGGCACGTTTCTCTCTTTCACCCTCCATTCGTGCCTCTTCAAATTCTGCAGCACTGCTGGTCACAGCTGACCTCCAGCTGGAGCGCTCAAGGGCTCAGGGCTTCCCAGTTCTCAGTGTCTATGCCAGAGTTTTTAAGGTTGGCTTTGAGCCCATCTTTAAATCTCTTTTCCTGTCCACCAACGTTCCGTTTTCTGTTCTTAAGTTCGGAGTAGAGCAACTGCTTTGGGAGACGGTGGTCAGGCATCCGGACAACGTGGCCGGACCAGCGGAGTTGATGTTGGAGGACCATCGCTTCAATGCTGGTGGTCTTTGCTTCTTCCAGCACACTGACGTTTGTCCGCTTGTCTTCCCAGGAGATTTGCAGGATTTTCTGGAGGCAGCGCTGATGGAATCATTCCAGGAGTTGCATGTGACGTCTGTAGACAGTCCACGTTTCGCAGGCATATAGCAGGGTTGGGAGGACAATAGCTTTATAAACAAGCACCTTGGTATCCCTACGGATGTCCCGGTCCTCAAACACTCTCTGCTTCATTCGGAAAAATGCTGCACTTGCAGAGCTCAGGCGGTGTTGTATTTCGGTGTCGATGTTGATTTTGGTGGAGAGGTGGCTGCCAAGGTAGCGGAAATGGTCAACATTTTCTAATGTTACACCATTAAGATGTATCTCTAGAAAATGGTACAGTAAGTGCTGTGGCTAAGTATCAAACTAGACATGAGACTCCGTTACATGTAGTTCTTTAATCAAGAATGAAATCCATAATGAAATATCACCTGTTCCAGGGAACTGCATTTCTTTGGATCTTGTCACATGTGCCAAGATCAGCCAGTCACATGTGCCAAGATCAGCAATCAGCCAGTTTTGCTGTGTTTTGGCTGCACCCGCCCAAGGGAGCATGGGGACATGTTGCCCTATGCAGTCTTGGCTTCCCCTCATCACACAGGGAAGGAAGGACAGCCAGGAAGGTACTATAATATCTCAGAGAACCGACTGGGCAGGGGGGTCAAGAGAAATCCCACCGCTGCCACCAATTATAATAACTCAAAGAGAGACTATCTGGGCAGGGGGACAAAGAATCCACCACCGCTGTCCCTCCTGACAATAGGGAAATCAATTCACTTTGGTTCTAAAAGTGCTGAGGGGATGTCACGTTGTGTAAAACCTTCGCTGCCACCATAAACTACAGAAACACGAACCCCCTAGCTATTTAGACTGCTAAAAGGCTGTTTAAATTATTAAAAGGCTTTTTTACTCCACCAAATACTGTGTATTAACAAGGGCTTTCTTTGAGGGGAAAACAGGAGAGGTTGATTCAATAAGGAAAATGACTCCAACCAAAAATAGCACTTGACTCAGGCTTCAAGTTTAAAAATAACAAGAAAGAGTTTATTGATTACAAATTACAGAATTATAAGTGAATGCAGGTTCAGAGGCTTGGCTGTTACCAATAAAAGTGTTCTTGTTTCTTAGAAGCGTAATGGTTACTTGAGAGAATGGTTCTTTCCTTTGTTACAATTTCTTAAACACAAAACCCAGCTATTTTCTTTTCTAAAATAGCTGTAACTCAGTCTGCCACAGCCTACTGTGCTGTGCAAACTTCAGGCAAGCTGCCTATTCTAAACAGAGACTCCTACAAATCCAAAGCCTTCTCTAACCTCTCTCAAAACTGAACTGCTCTCTACTCTACTCAGAACTGATCTAAACTGAACTGTCCAAATTATCTGTTCTCTTTCCCTCCATCTGGCTAACTCCGCCCCTCTTTCCTAAACCAATCCTGGCTGTTGCTGGGCTGGCTCAGGCCTCGGCCACTCCCCCTCTCTGAACTGGAGCTTTTCCCTAAACTAAGATGGCTCCAGCAGCTCTCTGCCAGGCCCTGTAAGCTGAAACTATCAAGCCTGTCTCTTGCTGGGCCCTGCCACCCTGGCTGGCAAGGTAAGGGATCTTTATAGGTACCTTGGCCCCAGAGCCCTGTGCAGATGGTGGCCCCTTGTCCCCAGTGAGAGAGGGCCCCTCCCTCACCACACACACACACACACACTGAAGCTCCTTTCTCTGTGGCACTGACCTTCTAGCATCAGCTTGCCAAAGCCCCTCCACCTCTACTTCAGACAGGACTCCCTGGAGGAGGATAGGCCCGCTGGTTTCATTTCTTTATGCAGTCTCTAGTAATATTTATTTATGATCCTGTTGCTTACTGTTTCCTGTATGTATGTTCTGGCATGCAGCTTCTTTTACTCTTATCTTTCCTGAGAAGTTATAAAAAGGTGCTTCAGTCCACCTGAAGGTTGTGAGTAAACCAAAAACGTTATTTTTATCCAATTCTACTTTATTTTTGTCTCTTGAGTGCATGATATAAAACAAGTTGTTTTATGGGAGAGTATATATATATTTGGGCAACTGGAAAACACTTCTGAAGCACTGCTATTTTTTATGCACTGGCAAAATCTCTGTTTTCCTAACAGATCAGAGATAACAGGTTATTCAGGAGCCCCCGGTGGCGCAGTGGGTTAAAGCCCTGTGCTGGCAGGACTGAAGACCGACAGGTCGCAGGTTCGAATCCCGGGAGAGGCGGATGAGCTCCCTCTATCGGCTCCAGCTCCTCATGTGGGGACAAGAGAGAAGCCTCCCACAAGGATGACAAAACATCAGAAATCATCCGGGCGTCCCCTGGGCAACGTCCTTGCAGACGGCCAATTCTCTCACAACAGGAGCGGTTGCTCCTGACACGACAAAAAAAAAAACAACATCTAACAACTGAAATCA